CACAGATAGCCCATTGTGTAGCTTTGTGCTTAACTTCAAACAAACGAACAAACACAAGGGGACATTTATTATCTTATGTGAAGACTAACTAGTTTTCTGTATGTGCGTTAATTATTTAAAGTTGAAGGTACATAGAATTTTTATTGTTTCCCTCGTAGTAAAGAAAACAGTTTGAAATAGTGGTTTTATTGGATAAAATATATTAAATTTGTTTGGTTTTTAATTTGCAATCCAAGCTTCTGTACATTTCTTTATGTTACTAAAACTGTGATGTAATATCACACAAACTACCAATTTATAGATCATGCTTTGCCAGAATAGGAGTTATATAGATATGTGATCATATGAATTGATAACTTATTATAAATAGCGTTTCGCCGAAGCTTTCGTTTGTAGCATACCCATCTCATCTGATGAGGCCCGGCATGGCCAGGTAGTTAGGGCGCTCGACTCGCAATCTGCGGGTCGCGGGTTCGAATCCACGTTACACCAAACATGCTCGCCCTTTCAGCCGTGGGGGCGTTATAATGTGACGGTCAATCCCACTATTCGTTGGTAAAATAGTAGCCCAAGAGTTGGCGGTGGGTGGTAATGACTAGCTGCCTTCCCTCTAGTCTTGCACTGCTAAATTAGGGATGGCTAGCGCAGATAGCCCTCGTGTTGCTTTGCGCGGAATTCAAAACAAACTCATCCGATGAGCTCAAGTATTTAGTATGGATGCACGGGTAGTACAATGTGGCCGAATACTGGGTCCGGGTATCCGGTCACTAAGCTTCGGCTGGGACCGGGTTCTCTCATTGCCCCCCCCCCAAAAAAAACAACAAACAAACATCGTACACAAAAATTAGAAACAAAAAACAAAATTGACGTTTATTACATTTAACCGAATAATCACCAACAGAACATTCAAGTTTTACTTTCAACTTTCAATGTCAAGCCCCAACTTCTCAAACCCTAACCCCTATTGTTCTTAAAAAAAACACCTTCCCCAAAAGTTCACTTCTCAAGCCATGCCCGTTATTAACCCCTATTGTTCTCTGAATCCCCGACTTTCATATTACGTTTTTACTTATACATAACAAACGTGTGCTTAGGTTTGGGCAGGCCTAGTGATTATCATTCCGGACTGTAATTCTGGAGGTCCATGGTTCGCGTCTCGTTTCCGAAAAAAAAAATTTATTAATACTTGAGGCCACGGGTGCGCTATAAGAGTAAAGTTATATTTTAATATTCGATTAGAATAACCTAGAAGTTGGCGGTATGTGCAGCTGACTAGTTGCCTTTCCTCTAGTCTATCAGTTCAAAACTAGAGACGGCTAGAACAGATAGCTTTTGTACAACTTGCTAAACAAACAAAAACATTTCTGTGTATGCACATTTTTGTTTGTAGTTTCAAACACCTGGTCACGTAACGTCACAGTAAGAGAAAAATGTATAGTTTCAAAAATTTAGTTGTGTAACATTAATTTATAAGTAAAAGTTTTAGTTTTAAACATCTGGTCACGTGACGATAAAATAACTTTACCATTCTTGTAGTTTTTACCTGAACGTAGGAGGAACATGTTCCTTGGCAAGCAAATGATGGAATTGGTTTAGGAATACACCCTGAATGTTTCAGGACGTGAATTACGGGTCTCAGCTGACACTCTTCTAATCGAGCCGTGACAGAGTACATTGTCGTCAACAGCACCATGAGAGCAACTGTCCAATAAAATATTGATGTACTGGTCTTGAGGAAAGGTGTCATGTTGAATTGGTAGACCTGAAACGGAAAAGGTGATTGTGGTTTGAATACACATAAAATGTCCGACTCTTAAGATAACCGTGAGAACCATTGTTATTTTATAATATACACCTATCAAGATAACCCCGAGAACCACTGTTAGTTTATAATGTACACCTATCAAGATAACCATGAGAACCATTGTTATTTTATAATGTACACCTATCAAGATAACCCC